GTTGTGCTCCCCTCCCCTGGGGCTCTTCAGGAGGAGGTTGGATAGGTATCTAGCTGCGGTCATCTAACCCCAACTCTCTTTCCTGCCTATGCAGGGGGTCGGACTCGATGATCTAGTGAGGTCCCTTCTGACCCTAACATCTATGAATCTATGAACATTAGGGCTGAGATTTTAAGTGTACAAACATTATTAAATCAAAACTTTGTTTCCAGAGCTGTAGTTCATCCAGTTTACACAAGCCATTATTGTTTATGGCAGTCGTGTCAAACAGCAACCCACAAGCTGGATCTAATGCTCAGAGGTGGATCATGTGGCCTGTGGGGTTTCATGAATGTGGGTCTTCTAGCCTGCAGGGTTTCCCAGTAGGCCTGTGCAAAGTGGCAAGTATTTGCTTTGGATTTGGCCGATTCAGAGGGACAGTGATTTGATTCGGTGATTCGAATCACTGTCCGGATTTGATTCGGCCCATTTGAATCTGAAGATTCAGCGCCAGTTCAGAGATTCGGCCATAGACTAAACAGGCAGCAGTCCTCACCATGCTGGGCACATCTGCCTCTAGCTGGTAAGTCTGTTGTGGTGTGTGGAGGGAAGTGGGGGGGTGCAGATCTGCAGCCCTGGCTTTGCCCACCCTGCAGAGCGCAGTGGAGCAGGGGCTATGAGGGGGCTGCAGCCACCCTAAAATTCCCCATAGCCCCTGCCTCTGGCCCCTCCCCAATCCAGGTGCACGCACTTGCTGCCATGCCCTGCCACTGCTCACCCAGCCGGGATGAAGCCGCGGCTTGTCCGGGAGGCGTGGGGAGGCTGGGTGAGCAGCAGGAGAACTTAGCTGTCACTTCTAGCACCTTCCGCTGCCCATCCAGAGTGCAGCCTGGCCCAGCCCGCCCCATGCAGATCCGGGGGCACACACTTGCTCCCATGCCCTCCCGAATCAGCGGCACGCAGCGGTACGCTGTGGGAGCCCCCCCCCCCCGAGTCCCATTCCCCCCCCCCCAGCTGGGCAGCTTGTCCCAGCCCCAATCCCTCCCGCTCTGTGGGGGTGTTGATCTGCCACCCCCCACCACACCCTTTCCCTCCACCCACCACAACAGACTTACCAGCTGGAGACAGATGTGTCCAGCGTGGTGAGTACTGCTGCCTGTTTAATCTATGGCCAAATCTCTGAATCTGTGCCTAATCTTTTCCAATTTGATTTGGACCTTTTAATTGGTCTCCCGATTCTATTTGGATTTGGGTTTCAGCTGCTGAATCAGGCCAAATCTCCTCCGAATCGAATCTGCTACCAAAGCTTCGCACAGCCCTACTTCCCACTGTACCTGTCAGAGCCACCATATTAGCATGACCCAACACCCAGATGGCATTAACCTAGGTGGCTAATGCCGCCACCACTACCTAGTCCCCTTTGCCTACCTTTGAATTTGTATTTTGAGTCAAAATTTGGTGGCAGTCAGGTGGAAGAAGAGGCATGAGCAGTGGTGGCATTAACCCTGTGGCTGCTGACCATGTCAACAAGTGGTTCTGGCAGGGAGTATGGCTTGCTCCTAGCTGCTGACAGGGCATATTTGTCCACCAACTGACTTTAGTTTGATACTCCTGGTGTGTGAAATTCAGTTACCTGTTATCATCTGAATTGCCAAACTTGAGTAGGGGACTAGGTAGTTGTGGCGGCATTAGCCACCTAGGTTAATGCCACCTGGGTGCTGGTTCATGCTAATATGGTGGCTCTGACAGGTA